TACTGCTCCTGCTACGGCTCCTGCTCCTGCTCCTGCTCCTGCTCCTGCTCCTGCTCCTGCTCCTGCTCCTGCTCCTGCTCCTGCTGCTGCTGCTGCTGCTGCTGGTGCTGGTGCTGGTGCTGCTGCTGCTGGCTACTGGCTACTGGCTACTGGCTACTGGCTACTGGCTACTGGCTACTGGCTACTGCTACTGCTACTGCTACTGCTACTGCTACTGCTACTGCTACTGGTGCTGCTGCTGCTGCTGCTGCTACTGCCAGTGCTAGTGCCAATGCTAGAGTTAGTGCTACTGCCACCACTGCTACACGCGAAGGGGCGAGGACGGCGACGGCCACGACGACAGCCACGACGATGACCCCGACGACCATGGCGACAACGACGACGACGACGACGAAGAGGACGACCACCAGAGGAACGACCAGCAACCTCACCAGCAGCAGCGGGACCAGCAGCACCAGCAAGACCAGCAAGACCAGCACCACCAGCACCACCAGCAACACCAGCACCACCATCACCACCAGCACCACCAGCACCACCAGCACAACCAGCACCACCAGCCACCATCGGAACGATGGTGGCAAGGACAGTCGTGATCACGATCTACCCACCGAGTAGTCCACAAGCACTGAAGTTTCTGTCCCGCGATTCTTGAACTCTGCCCCGAAACTTCATGGTGTGGGGGCTCACACTTGGGGAAGCGGTTCAAGGCAAGATCGGGCAGCATTCCGAGGACTCAACAGCCGACCCAGCCCTGGACAGCTTAGGTTGTCAATCCTATCCACACCCATAACCTAAGTCCAGCGTCCAAACCCTGAGCCACTCTGAGCCTAAACTCACCTGACGCCCGCGTTCCGGAAGCGAGCTGCAGGCAGAAACGGCTCCACCATAAAGAAGCCAAAATAAAATCCAAAACCAAGATCCTGCGCAGCCAGGACACCGGCTCTGTACAGCGGCTCTGCCGGGCACTCTGAAAGCCAGAGTGGAAGCCACCGTTTTTGCGACGCAGATCCGACTATCAGCCAACTCAAAGGGCAAATACCACACTTGAGGCCCGATCTCTCACCGCACCCTGACCCAGAACTATTTCGCATAAGATACGCTATAATGTATGATAGGACCACAGTACACCATAATCAGTTGCTATAATATACTATAATATATAGCCTCGGGACCCAGAGTCACAACGACTTGAAGAGCCCAGTCAAGGCAGAGATGATGCGAAATCGGCCATCCAGAAGCTCCTCGAGGCTGGCTCTGATGGTCGCGCAAGCGACCTCCTGCGCTGCTTCGTTGCCGGCATGGCTGTCGTAGGGTTTCGGGTTTAGGGTTTCGGGCTTAGGGGCACACCACGCAGGGGGTTTGATGCTCTGAGGATTCTTCACGTTGGCATTGTATCCTTCGCCCCCAAACAGATTGCAGTGTCATTGCCCGTCTCGCGAAGACCGTCACGTCACGGTCATGACAAGGTGTGAAGCTGTCCCCATCAGTTTCGCTAAACACGACGGTGCAAGTGCATGAGCTGAAGGTGGTGTTGCTGCGGTTATCTGGGCTAAGCATGGTTAATGCTTTGGGCTTTTTTTCTGGGAAATCTTGACAAAAGATGAGGGGTAATTGAAGGGTTTTACAAGGGCTGAGCACTGAGGGAAGCCCGGAACTCGGGCCCTTGCTAAGAAATCTTATAGACTTTGGTTTCCATGCCCATAAGTTATGATAAGCGACGGTCGAGGGCTTCGTCGTGGGTTTTGTTGTTGTTGTTGTTTCCGTGTTTCGGAAGCCTGCTGTGAAGGCCTCGTCTGCTCACAGCCTTGGGACAGGTCTGCCTCTTCGCCCCAACAATGCGCGAAGTACCACCCTTTGATGGCCCGGAAATGAGATGGTCGGGGTTCTGAGGGTTTAGGGTTCTGAGGGTCTCTACACCTGCACCTACACCCTCCACACCCAGATCGACCTACAGATTCAGAGGTTCAGAAGTGATAGCCGGAGCCCTCGCAGGGGGTGGCGCCAGCAGTTTAAATCGAGGACGGCAGCAAGGAGTCGTCAAAGTGCACACGGCGGACGGTCGGAGCACGGCAGAGCAGGGAGTCCAGGCTCCTCCGCTAAGCAGGCTTCGAAAAGCGATGCTCGAGCGCATCAGCATCGAAGCAGAACGTTTCCCGGGTTGACCGGAACAAACTGAAAAAGTCTGCTGTGCAAGCAGCAAAAGAACATCAGCACGCAGGGGCTTGCAGCTCCGTTGCGTGGTCTTAGAGGATGCCAAGGATTCGGGCGCAGAAAGGACCCGCACCTTGGGCGGGCTTGTAGATTGGCGCTGCACTCAGAGGATCCGATGGCCTGCTTGGTTCGTTTCCTCGCGAAGCTATGCAATGATTGCGGTCTCTCTTGGAAGGACCAACGCTGGACATCTTGTCGTGCTCTTTTCCGTCAGCTGCCGACATGGCCGACTACGTCGCTAGGTATTCTGCACTCGACGTGCTTCTGCTGGTGAGGGAAAGCTGGCAGCGAGGAGGAGGCACTGCTCCCCATCAGCGCAGTTCCTGCTACCAGGACCAGGCCTTAGGCAGGCTCCTCTGCATCGCCCTGCCGCGCTTCAGCACTGCCACTCCGAGAAGCGGCTGACGTCGTCGACGATTCACTGGGCTTGGAAAAGGGACCGACTCTTGCTTCGGTGCGTTCGACCAGTTGTCGCCAGTATGGCATCTCGCACTCGTGCGCAAGGAGCAGCGAGAACAACGTTTCGCCAATCGGTCAAGCTGCCTTTTCTCCTGTGCGCGACTCGAGCCCGCTGTCGCACGCGAGTTCCCATCTCGTAGATTTTGTGGGCCTCCCGACGAAGCGGTCGGGGCGACACTGAAGCACGGCCTCGATGCCTATCTGTTCAGTTGAGCTGGCCGCCAGAAAGGCTGCGACGTGACGAATCCCGAATGCTGGGTGGACCTGGGGATAAGAGTTCTCAGCGCGTGGCACGCTTCCATTATGGTAAGCCGGGTTCTGACCTCCAATGGACCGAAACTCCTGCAGACGACCTGGACATCTTGGAGCCCGGCGACCGGTGAGGACAATGAAGGGCATGTGCCAAAGAAAGGACTGGCCCAGCAAGAAATCGAAGAGGATACATGGCACGCCCCCATCTCAGAGGCTGTGATGGGAGGCGTGGCCGCGCCTGGGTGTTTCTGGCTCTCCAGAATCTCGTCCTCGACAACTCTTGCAGTCGGAGAGGTCCACGACGACACTTTGACTCTGAAGTTTTTGTTGGAAGTCCGTCCTCAGAGGGTTTATTCTTCCCAGGTTTTCGCAGAAGAGGGTTGTGGATGTCTTCGGAGCCGACCCTGCATCGCGACACTCAGACTCTGCTCGAGGAAGCTGGTTGCAGCGACATGCAGTTCAGGGGGCCGGGCGAGGTGATCTGATTGATCTGTTCCGTTTTTGCCATGCTTTCCCACGTTCCTGCAGGCACATGCGCTTCATTGATCTTCAGATGTCAGATCTCTCAACTCGGAACGCTCTTTCACTCCTGCCTTTGCAGCCCTTGCTGTCACAGACGATCTCGCTGCCGTGAACAAGCACCAGGTCTCTGGTCTTTCATCTGTGTCTTTGACAACTCGCGCTGGTGCCAGACGCTTCGTCCGAGCTGGAGGTGAACGACCCTGACCACCGGGATCGTGCGACATGATCCATGTGCGGAAGGCTTCAGGGGAGCTGCCACCAGCTGCAACGGAGAAGCCCTCTGGCCGCACCGAGAAACCGCGAAGTAGGCAGCCCGCTCACAACCCGATCAGCTTGGATTCGGAATACTCTTCCGAATTCCTCACCGCAACCTTAAGGCCTTAAGACCCAGCGCGTGGGGTTGGCCTCGACTTTGCTCCACTATCAGAGACTCCCTGACACTCCGGGCGCTGGAGGATTAGTCTCCTCAGGCTCGGGCACAGGTATCGACTCCAGCTGATGCTCTTATGCATCAAAGGAACTATTGGACGAAGATTTACATTTATTATTGATCCTTTAAAGGAGCCCTATTATAGAACCCTAATAGGATGACTCGAAAGCCGTCGGTGCTGCTGTCCTACATCCCTGCCATCCCCAGACGGAGAACGCAGCCAGCTGGATTCATGTTTTGGGGTTTGAGTCCTGGTTGCTGGCGGCATTCCATCGGAAGTCCATGTTCAGAAGATCTATGGGTTCGGGTCTGGGGTTCAGGGTTTTCAGGGTTTGTATACATAGCCCGTGCATGCAGCTGTTGATTTTTACTGCAGATCGACCGTCACTGCTGGAGGCCTTCCAGGCGCGCGAGGGGGAGCTGCCCTTACAAGCAGCCTCCAGGTACAAGCGCCGTGCGTCTCGCTCTTCGAAGGGGAGGAGACGCTCCTGCACGTGCCGAGCCATCTGACTCCAGGGGCCCAGGGGATGATATTGTTGCAGCAGCTGAACCCAAACCCCTTTTCTGATCAGATGGAAGCTGCGGCAATTAATTAGGCTGCGACGAATTAGGCTGCATGCGACGAGTGCCGAAAAGGCAGCCCTCGCACATGCCCATCTCATCCCTACAAGGCTGGCAGGTGGTTGCCCTTCGCCCTCGTGCTGCGCAAAAGTCACTTTCGGGGTTTTGGGCAGCCAGCTGCAAGCGCTCCTGGAAACCCAGCCAGAAACCGCCTTGAGACCCCAAAGCTTCCCAGGCAAACTGCTTCGAGGTGTCGTGCCAAGTGGCGGCCCAAGTGATGGAAGCCACCGGCGATTGCTCTCCTGTGCTCGATCCACGGAGGTGGTGCGATTGCTCGTGAAGCTGGCCATGTCACCAGGAGCCGAGGTGCTTGAGACGGCGAGGGTCGTACTCTCATGTGAATGGTTCGTTTCCAGGATTTCCCAGGTGCGGTTAGGGCCGGTCTGGCACATTGGTTTGAGGATGGACAGGTGCTCGGGTATGAGTTATCGTTTGTCATGACCTCATCCCCACGGGTCCTGCCCCGCCGCTCAGCTCGTCAAAAAATGGGCCGCTGCGGACCGAAGCAGTGATGCTGCGATGCCTGCTAGGCTCTTTTTCAATGTCAAGGTATAATGGAGAAGGCTCGCTTGCTTTGCTTTCAACGGCTTGCTCCGGTTTCGCAGGCTGTCGATGGAGGCTCGTTAGTCGCTGCCCTTGTGAGGTGTGGCACCTGGGTACCAAGAGCATGTGGAACTTTCAGAGAAATGGCGAAACAAGGCTAGGCAAGGCCGTCCGTTACCGGAGCATGATAGACTTCCGAGTTACCGGTACAGGCTCAGGGACCAGCTTATGCAAGTGATAGAGCGAAGCTCTGGCAACAAGTTGGGCCGCAAGGCGCGCGCGTGTGTCGACGTTTCGGCTTTCTTGTAGAGGACTCCTATGACCTCCCGTGACTTGCCAGGGGTCGGCTCTGTCTGATTGTGCAGAGGCTTCGGGAGAGATGCTTGCCCTGTAGATGGAACAGGTTGCTGCCTCTTGCAGGTGAATTCATATGTCAACCACACTGGGGCCGGTTCCCTTTCCCTTTGCCAAAGCTTTGCAAAGCCCGGTCCTGCCACCGTCCGCTGCGAGGTTTTCTATGAGGAAGCTCCGCACATCTCAGCAGGCTGCGCCTGATGCGAGCATGATGTATTATAGTTTACATTATAGTACATATCATAGTTTTATATTATGTATTATATTACATGTTATAGTATAAAAAGAATAATATATATGTATATATATCTATATAGATATATATCTGTATCTATATCTATATACACATATAATCACGTGCCTTTGGCCTGTGCAGGTCGGCGGTGAGTGCAGCGGAAGGGCTTTCCAAAATTATGCAGGCGCGCCATGTGCAGACGATGCTGGTTGACATGGTGGTTTTGGCCGTAAGTTCTCCCTGTGACCAGAGACGATATCGGTCAGTTTGCTGCAAAGAGCCATGCCGGCATCCCACGAGCGACCTAATAGTGGCAATGCTTGCTCTAAGGTGTGCATACACAGTTCTATGTAGGCAAGTTAGTGTGTATGTCACCAAGCCAACTATCTGTCTGCAGTTCTCGCTGTCTATTCGTCTGTCTGTCTCTCTGTCTCTCTATCTGTCTATCTGTCTGTCTGTCTGTCTGCCTGTCTATCTGTCTGCTCGTCTATCTGTCTATCGGTCCGCCCGGCTGGCCAGCTGGTGGGCTGGCTGGCTGTCTGTCTGTCTGTCTCTCTGTCTGTCTCTCCTAGCTCTCTCTCCAGCTCTTTGAGTCCATCTATTTATCTCGCTACCTGCCTACCTGCCTGCCTACCTGCCTATCTATCCAGCTAGCTAGCAAGCTGGCTAGCTATCCATCTGGCTGTCTATCTATCTATCTATCCATCTATCTATCTATTTGCGAATTTGTGCATACCATGTTATTTACATGCAGTCCATAAAATGTCATGTTGTGTTATAACAGGTCATACCGACACATATCATATCTCTTTTCATGTTCTTGTATGTTCGGGTGCATCATGTTCTCTGGCCTTACATGACAGCAGTACAGTACAGTACAGTACAGTACAGTACAATACAGTACAGTACAGTACAGTACAGTACAGTACAGTACAGTACAGTACAGTACAGTACCTTTCTGGGACCACGTTACATCGAGTTACATTACGTTACCTGTAACATTCTGGCCCAGCCCGTATTGTATCGTAGTGTCTGTATGATATCGTAAAGTACCGTGCAGTATCGATAGTACCGATAGTACGATGTACTATAATAGTGTTTTGTACGGAACGGTATCCCGTAGTGTCGTTATCGTGTAGTCTAGTATAGTGTAGTAAAACTTAATGTAACGTGGTATAGTGTAGTACAGCATTGTCAGGTATAGTCTAGTAAATATGCATATATGCACTCATAGTATAGTACGATCTAGTATAGGATAGTAACCAGGATGGAACAGGGCAGCAGAGGTTTGCAGAGGAGGATGACAGAGCATGGCGTGGCATGACACAGCGCAGCACAGCAGAGCATGGCACAGCATTGCCGTTCTAGTGCGGCAAAGACAAGTCTAGTTTGAGTACAGTGTAGTAAAGCAGGGTGTAGTATAGTATAGCATAGCGTAGCACAGTATAGCACAGTATAGCAGGGTCTAGTCTAGCCTAGTGTAGTGTAGCATAGTGTAGTGTGGTACAGCATAGTATAGTTTAGTCTAGTCTAGTCTAGTCCAGTCTAGTCTAGTCTAGTCTAGTCTAGTCTAGTCTAGTCTAGTCTAGTCTAGCACAGGCAGAGCATAGCATAGCATAGTACAGCACAGTGAAGTATAGCACGGTATAGTATAGTATAGCATAGTATAGTATAGTATAGCATAGTACAGTATAGTATAGTATAGTATAGTATAGTATAGTATAGTATAGTATAGTGTCATGTTGTATAGTATGTCAACATGCATCCCTGAGCAGTTTCTGGAATGTGGCTTTTGCTGTGGCACCAGACAGAGGCGTGGCTCCGTGGGCAGGGTTTGCTCTTTTGGGGATTTCTTCTGCGTCTGCTTGGCGGCGCTGTTAGGAGCATCAGCATGGCAGATAGCATAGTATAGTATAATACAGTAAGAATTCCCACAACACCCTAGGCGCCAGCAAGTCTGCCTGCCTCGTGTTCCGTTTTCAGCCGACGAGTGTGCGTCTTGCCATATTTGCCGGCGGCGGCTTGGGCCGACCGGAAGATCTTCTGTTCTGATAGTGTTGACTGACTCGCCGAGGAGTGCCTCCTGTTCAAGTGAAAACTTCATGCCCGATCAGGTCTCAATGCAAATTAAGGACTGGCAAGTGACCTGCATCTTCTTTGTTTGCGCTTAATCATTATGCAGAACTAGAGGTCTTTATATGACCAAAGACCAAAGATTACTTTGACTCAGAACGGTCTCGTGCCACGTCACATGGCTCTTGGTTGTGCAGAGCAGCATAAAATCTTTTCGATGCTGACTTGCATGCCACTGATGATGGATGCCTTTATATGCAGTCAAGTGCCCCGTCATGACGAAGCGCAGACCCTCTTGACAGTCTTCCGTCAGCCATAAGCAAAAGGCACCGACAACTCCGACAATGCAGCATGCCAAAGTATAACATACTATAATGAAGTAACACGACAGCAGTGTTCCTGCTCATGACACGTGACGGGAACCAGAGACTGGCGGCAGCGGAAGCAGCGGCTCTAGATGACTGTCTTTTTGATTTTTTCCAGCGCTATGCCCACGGGGTAGATGCCTTAAGTCAGCTAGGCTGCGATGGACAGCTACGTTGCTGCCAGACTCCAGTTGCGCTCTCATTTCGGCCAGTTGCGCTCTCGCTTCGGCCTATCTCCTTTCGCTTTTCCGCATGAACGCACCCGGAATCTGACTGGCACGTCAAGCTCGTGCAAACCTGTATGCACGAGCTGGGTTGTGCTGGGCGGTTTTGCATACCAAGCAGTGCCCTTCTGTACAGCGTGCACTGCCCCAGCGATTGGAAGGGTAGGCGCAACAGAGCGCGCAATCCAGAAAAAGGATCCATTCCTTGGCTTCGGCCTTAGGTGGCCGTGAGATGAATTTGTTTTGGCACGTGAGCGCAGAAGCAGTCTCTGATGCCGGCAGTCAGAACGAGCAGATGCAGCAGAACCCGTCCGGGAAAGCCAACAGCTGCAGGATTGTCAAGCTTCCAGTTTCCCCAAAAGGTAGATGCGAGACAGAGCAAAGGAACCAGTCGCTTCACTGTTTCAGTCAGATGGCCAAAGCTCGTGGCTCCCGTGACCAAGCAGTGAGCCTTCTAAAGGACTGACTTTTCACTGGATGTCAGCTTTGAGCCGAGTACACTCCAGGATGCCGACCCGTCTCACATGACCCTAAACCCTAAACCTCAGCCAACCTTGGCGTTCAACCTAACCTAACCGGGCAGGTGGAAAAGAGGTGTCAAAAAAAAAAAGGCCCAAGTCCCTACACCCTAAACCCTAAACCGTAAAGGCCCAAAGCCCTAAACCCTATAACACAAACCCTAAACCCTAAACCCTTGAGGAGCACCTGGCCGGTCGGCTTGGCTCAGATTGCAAAGCTCTAATCGATGCGGAGGCGCAGCGAGACGGGTTTAGGGTTTAGGGTTTAGGGTGGTCGCACGGGAATTTGCTGACGAGGTGCCGGTGGATAGGTGTGCAGGTATGCCTGTATATAACTGGATGCAGAAATATCAGTATAAGTATGACTACAAGCATAAACATATTAATCTCTCTCTCTCTCTATATATATATCTATATATCTATATGTACATATATATATATACACAGACAGATATGCATCACTCAATACATGTTCATACATTGCGCGTGGGGTGCGCAACTCCGATGTAGGTCGAAGGCCGCCTGCAGGGGCGCACCAAGCTCGAGCGCGAGGCCGAACCGACACGGAGCTGAGCTGTTGGATCCCATCGCTTCGAATCGAAAGGCGTGAGTAGTTTAGGGTTTAGGGTTTAGGGTTTTAGGGTTTTAGGGGTTTAGGTTTTAGGGTTTTGTTTTAGGTTTTAGGGTTTTAGGGTTTAGGGTTAGAATCATCGGCGAGGATCTCGATGCCATCGAGCGCTCTGTGGCAAAAGCAAGGCACCGGCTCCGACAGCTCAGCTTCCATGGGATTTGTCCCCGTGGCCCCTGGCCGTAAACCCAGAAACCCTACTTGGAGGCCCTTTTGNNNGGGGATTATAATAGGGCTCCTGGGGGATACTAAGTAGACTTACTAAGTCAAAAGGGCCTCCAAGTAGCACCACATGAGCCAGGAGGCAGCGGCGCGGAGGGAAGGAACTGAAAGGCTTGAGCAGGCTGGGACCGACTTGGCCTTCAGTGTTCCAGAGCCGGAACAGGATCAGAGCGAGGCTACAACGCCGGCTGAAGCCGGAAAGATTGAGATCTGAGCTCCGGGGCACTCATATCCGACAGATTCATAGTATTGAGCTTGTTGCCCCATCCTTAACGCCTTCACCGTAAATCCGAACGTTCTGTGGCCACAAGGGCTCAAAGGTTACTGTTCGCTCGCAGCCCGGTCCATGCCTGCGATGGCAAAGCCACTCGGCTTGTGTTCATGCTCCTGAAGAGATCAGCTATGCAAGTACTTGCCAGTGTAGCAGCTTTTCGGCGTGTTGTCGTTTGGTATTTTGCGGAGTTCTCTTATGGATGCCTACTTGGGCGTTCTGACTCGCTGTCGGTTCTCATCCTTGCCATTTGCCGTTCATGGTTGTGTCCGTTGATATGAAGCATCATCTTCGCAGTCATCCAGGTCATCATCATCATCATCATCATGATCGTCAGCATAGTCATCATCATCACCATCATCATCATCATCAGGATCATCATCACCATCACCACCATCACCATTATCACCATCATCACCATCATCACCATCATCACCATCATCACCACCATCACCATCATCACCATCATCACCATCATCACCACCATCATCATCCTCCTCCTCCTCCTCCTCATCATCATCATCATCATATCAGCATCA